TCAAATCAAGTCTCTGGAGTACATCCACAGCTGGGATGGGTCTTTCAGTCCTTGGTTCAAAGCTTCAGTGTAGCAAAGTTCCTCCAGAGGTATGAAGCAGGACTGAAGACCCAATGGAGGAGCTGCAGCAGCTTTTTATATTCTCTTGCCATGTCATCTTTCTTTCTTTGTTCCAAAACAAGCTGTCCATCACATGGCCTGGAAAAACTTCAGAGTTCTGTCCATAGGCATGTTCCTGCATACCTTGCTGAGTCCCAAGACATGTCTGCCTTCTCTCAATGGGTCAATTCTATGGCTGATGGTCCTTAATGGGCCATCAAGCAGGCTAGACAGAGCTGACACCAACTTGTCTGGGGTGTCACCCAGAAGCATAGCATAAGTTTGAAATACAGACAGTATAGAGCCAATATTCATAACTTCAACTATAAAATGATACACATACACAGATAGCATAATCATAACCAGCAAACCATAACCTTGTCTTAGACACCTCATTTGACCCCCTTTATATAAGATTTGGTGCCACTACAGGATCTTGGTTGCAACAATGATCTATATGGTCCCAGTTCAAATCAATAACGTCACAGTACACGGTTATTGTCACTCTCTCCTGTTGACACTGTGGTCTAACCAAGGTGCTCTGTACAAGGGAACATGCTTCCACTGAATCCATAATATACCTTTGTAATTATCTGGCCTACTTTGATGGGAATTTTCTTTATCTCAGGTCCTCCTTTTACACCTGTCCACTCACAGAATTCTGCAAACCCACAGTCCTATAGGTGCAGTATTTTTTTATATGAGCTTTGCCACTGCACTGGTAACAAATCACTAAGCAGGCAATTGGGGCACCCTTGTTTACCTCTCGTGACCAATTCCAGGCCTTCAATAAAAAAGGTTCCTCAAGCTTCTTTCCTCCCTTCCTTGCTGTAGAGAACAGAGCTCTTTTCATGGAAAGTCTGCTTGCACATGCTCCTTTTTTTAATTTTACAGTGGCCTCTAACAATTCTGACTGATGTCTCCAGACTCTCATAGCCTTGGGGAGGCTCAGTGTAAACTGTTCCAGAATAATTGAGTCCGTGAGGGCCTTTAAAGTTCTGACTCTCTGGCCTTAAACAATGACTGGCCCAGTCTGACAATTTCTGTGCAAAAGCCCCGGGACATATCCCACCATTCTATCTAGCTGCTCGGGATTTTTGGTGGTATTCTTTCACCAACAAGCCCACCCTGTCCAAAATAGCATCTTTAAGTGTACCCATAGTATGATGTTACACCCCATATTCTTTACAGAAATATAGTTATGATATGAATATGGTATAATTAAGATATACTTTAAGCAAGATGGCTCATGTAAGATATCATTGGAAAGGTTATGATTTACTGAATGTGATTATCCAATTTGAATGCATGTATCGTTTCTCTATCTAAAGTTAAGAACGTGGACTATGTAACAAATGACAACTGTGTGTGTATTTAGGAGACACCCACCAGACAATCGGCCATCACAGCCTTGATGGGCCATTAGGAAGAAACAGTAAGACTGTGAAGATACTAATCTCTCTCCTTCCTGAGAGGCATCCTGGGATGTAGCTGTGACACTACAAGGTCAGGTGGTCCTGTCACCTGATACAAAATATCACCTTGGACACTGCTGGTACTCTGTAGGGGGATGGGGATCGAACAAAGGTTTCCTGCCTTAGGTAAATCCTTTTTAAGGCTGGGGAAGAGGTTAATCTAGACTCTCCTCCATTGCCTACCCAAGAAGAAAGACCGCTGAAAGTACCTAAGAGGTGAGTCCAGACTGAGACAGGGGTCCAGTCTGTAAGACGAGATAACTGGAACTCTAAGCTATAGAAACTCTACATCCCACCTAATTCAACATTTAGAGTGAGAAATTACATTTTGTAACCAGTTTCTTTAGTGAATTAAGCTGTCTGTGTATTTTGTTTTATTTGTTTAGTAATCTGCTTTGTTCTGTTTGCTATCCCTTATAATCACTTAACATCTGTCTTTTGTAGTTAATAAACTTATTTCTTGTTTGTTTATAACATAACCCAGTTTGTGCAATTCATATAAGGAAGGGGCGGGAGGCGCAAGAAGCTGTGCATATCTCTCTTCATATTGACGGAGAGGGCGCATTTTTATGAGCTTATGCTGTGCAGATTTTTCTATACAGCACAAGACAATATACCTTTGGGTCTGAACTCCAAGGGAGGTGGGTACCTGAATTCTGCGGCAAGTCCCTTAAACTGAGTCTTCCCAGAGCTGATCTCAGTGTCTGTGTCTTTCTGCAGCTGGGCGTGGCCCTGCCTGCATGTGCACTAGAGGAGGCTTAAGAGCCTGGCTCAGCAAGACAGTGTAAGGGGGCCCAGGCTGGAAGAACAGGCAGACTCAGTGGTATCCCAGTACATCAGGTGGCACCTTAAAGGGGGGCAACCCATCATACATAGTTTTTAGCTTGGTGTTTGCTTAGGGCCATATAAGCCACCTGAACCTCATTGGTCAGGTAAGGGGCTAGCTGCAGTGCCCATGCACCCTTGTCCCATCTGGCATTAACAGCTACCTGTTTAAAGGTTGGCAAAAAGACATCAGGGTCATCCCACAGAGTTATTTTAGGTAGTTCTGGCCTATCACCCAACTTCGAGTTCCCTCACTGGAACTCACCAGCCACTGTAAGAGCTGCCGCTGTACCTGGGAATGGGAATCAGTTAGACCCATAAGCATGTGCTCAAGAACCAGCCAGCCAAGCCACTGAGAGAGAGAAAGCTTGGTGCCACCTCAGAGCCCTGGTGCACCCCACACAATGTCCCATTTCAAGCAGTGGACATCCTCCTTCAGAGGATGGAGATCAAAATACCCTTACCTAGAATACACGGGGGGGGGGGGGAGAGGGGGAGAGAATATCCCTTCCTGACCCCTGCAGGTGTCTGGCTGAAACTCTGGAGTATGAGCACTTAGGAACATTAAGATGTAAACTGCAAGTGAGCCCCAGGGCTGCTGAGCCCTGCCATCACATGTACCTCTGTCATAAATCACACTCCTAAATTTGTCCAGTTCTCTCTTAAAACTAAGTTGTTTGACACCACGACTCCTATTGGGAGGCTTCTCCGGAACATCACCCTTTGGATGGTTAGAAACTGTCTTCTAATTTCTAGCCTGTATTTGTTCATGGTTAGTTTATATCCATTTGTTCATGTGCTAACACTGTTCTTTAGTTTAAACAGCTCTTCATCCTCTCTGATATTTACCCTCCAATGTATTTATAGACAGCAATCATATCCCCTCAGCCTTCTTTTTGTTAGGCCAAACAAGCCAAGATCTTCCAGTCTCCTTTCATAAAACAGTCCCTCTGTTTCCCTGATCATCCTAATAGCTTTTCTCTGCACCTGTTCCAGTTTAAATACATCTTTCCTGAACATGGGTGACCAGAACTGTACACAGTATTCCAAATGAGGTCTTAACAGTGCCTAGTAAAATGGCATTAATACTTCTCTAAGTCTACTGGAAATGCTTTTCCTGATACTCACATCTGCCTTTTTCACAGCTGCATCACACTGATACTTAAATAGTTTGCTGAATGTTTGCTGAATGTGGAAGTTCAGGATGATTGCTCTCATCTTTTCATTTCATTGTTATTGTCTGACTGCTAATAAATGTATCAAGAACCCTGATGTTGTCATTTTCCTTTTAATTTATAAAATAAACTTTTCACTGACAGATTGAAATTATAATCTAATGTTCCTAGAATCAAAGAATTTCAAGTATGTTATGTTCATGTAAATGCTTCAGAGTGAAACAGAAGTTCAAAAAATGAAAAATACCCTTTCTCCACCCCCTTCTTCCCAAAAACAGGACAAAATAATGTGAGAGATTTTCAGAACCCAGGTTTGTTCATTGACTAAGAAACTCACAAAGCATTAGTGAAACATGGTGGGTAAGCAGAACTGTAAGAATCTGTAAACAATGACTACAAACTCTGCTTTGAAACCATTCACGATACTTTTATTCAATTAATATTCCTGGGGGAATTCTGCGCCACTGTGCGTGTGTGGAATTTATGTCTTCTACAGATTTATTTATTTATTTATTTTTTGCTAAGGTGGTGGTGAGAATCACAGACTGGGTTTCAGAAGGGCTGGGGGGCAGGGGACAGACTGGAGCATGGGCTCAGGAGCTAGTGGGGTGACAGCATTGAGCCAGGGGCTGAATGGGAGGTGGGATGCAGGGCCACACAGGGACATGGGGTAGAGGGACTGCAGGAACACACAGGGATGGGGGCAGATGTGCCTGACTGAATGGGAGAGATTAGCGGTCAGCCAGAGTCTGCGTGGGGGAGGCTCCCCAACTCCCTGACAATCCCTTCCCCTGAAAATACACCTGTTCCATCCACACTCAGAAACCACCCAGATTTACTCCCAGCCTCCTTCCTTCTACCTCAGGTCCTCCATTACCCCTGACTCCTCCAAGCCTTTGCACTGATTCTGAGGGCTGCAGGAAATACGTTTCTGTATTGTAGTTTAAATGAATTGCTCTGTTCTGTATTAATATGCCTACTAAGGAATCTATTTGACATTTTTTTTCCCTGAATCTTTTTTTGTGTCTGTATTTGTTGACAGGTATTTTGAAATAAATTGCCAAAATAATTGAAACTAGTGTGATTATATTGTGTTATTTTGACAAGCAAAATATGCAGAATTTTGCAAAATTTTAAAATATTGTGCACAGAATTTGTAGGTGCAGAATTCCCCCGGGGAGTAAATTAAAATGTACTATGTGTACTATGCTATGTATCTGAAACAATCTTAAATTTAGCTTGCCCATGTTAAAAATATTGATTATTATCATACTTTGTCCTTTAAAAGCACAAATGCTAATCAAAGGCAGTATTTTGATTCTAGTTTTATAGCAAATCATGGAGAGATATATGAATACTTTTTTTTATATGTTACACAATCATTAATAAAAATTAAATGATGAATATTAGAAGTATTTTTACTTACAATTAGCTGTTTCAAGCCTACAAAAGACTGTTCTACGGAATTGGCATTTAAAACTTGCCTCTTCACTGCTGCTTGCTCACCCAGGAAACGGAGCATTAAGTCTTTTACTGCATCTCCCTGTGGCAAGGAAAGAGGAAACACAGATTATAACCAAAAAAACATTTTTACATTCTTCTAGTAACAAAAAACTTTGAAAGAAAAGACAAGTAAAATACTTCTAATGGAAAGATATTTTCAGTGAAAGTGTTTGTTTTCAAGGATGAATTGTTTTTGTAAAATGAATGCAAATCTTTACATATTTGAGACTTTTCCACAAAATAAAAAGTTCAAAAATTAGGATGAGATAGGCATCCAAACTTTGTGCATTGAGATCCGCCCATCACTAGATCTATATTTAGCTATATTGAAGCTGGTTTATACTGTGATTTTACATGCAGTTTAGTTGAGTAGAGGCTAGTTTAATGCGTGTTATTAAATGAATTTGGCTACAGTGAGACAGTTTTATAACATACTTTTGGATATAGTTTAGCTATGGGTGCTAGTTTAACAGCATGCCTTTGTGCTTAGTTTATATATACTAACACTGGGATTTGTATTTTTCTTATATTACTCCCCTTGTTGTCATAGGGTCGGGTACTCTGCTGCTTACAGCCCCATTGTGCTGTGTGACAAGCATAGGAGTCAATCTTCCCCAGCAGAAAATTCCTCCATTGAAGACGACCTCCTTGTTGCCACAAGTATGCTGCAGTTGGGTCCTGGCACCTGTGGCCCCACTCCCATGTCTGATATAGGGCAGAAAGGAAATGTTGTGGAGCAAATGTTAATGGTACAACTTAGAGCACCAAGATATATCAGATCTGGGGCTGGCTCCCTGAGCTCTTCTAACTTCTGCCCATAGTCAAGGCCACATGTTCTATGTGGTATGTTAACCTAAATTATGCAGCAGACACCCACATTTATGCAGCACTTTTTCCAATGCCCCATCACTATCTCTGACCTCCTTTATCCCCCACAGTCCAGTAGTACAATCAGAGAAGTACTGGTTACTTATTTTGATATTAAATTCAGCTTATTATATTCTGTCAAATTTTAAATGTGCTGCGGATCCTTGTACTGAGGCACTTCAAAACCATAGTGATGGTAGCTTTTATACAAACCTGAGATTTGATATATTCATATATTATAAAGCCAGAAGGGACCATTGTAATCATGCAATATGACTGGTTTTTGATAACCAGGTGTCAAGCTCTCTGCAGTGGTTCAAGAGCGTGAGTACCAAACTCAGGGCAAACTGTTATGAAGCAGGGCACAAACCCCAAACTGGTTGTGACTGCTATACTTAAATTTCACCAACCAAGCATCAAGTGTAAATTCCTCAGGCATTCTAACAGTCTAACCATTGAGTCACAGACTCTCCCTTCGGGTAATCCAGTCTATCTTGCCACCTAAGCAAATTTGCCTTTGTGATAGATGGTCCCTTACACTAAAAATCACAACAATATTCAAATTATTCCCAGTCCCAAAGAAACAGGTCAATCACACTTTAATCTTACATAAAAGACAACCCTTGTAGCCTACAAGAAACTAACTAACTAAGAAAAAGAAATAAGAGTTATCAACATGGTTAAAGCAGATAAACATATACAAGTGAGTTACAGTCTTAGGTGCCAAATGGTGGTAGAAGCTTCTCTAATAAGCAAGCTCTATATGTCCTGCAGGGCTAACCCAGGTCAAGCACTGGGGATCTTTTGCTTATGCTTAGTAATCCTTGGCCCTCAGAGTCCAAGCAGCATAAAAATACAGTTTCTCCTCGTTAGGGATTTTTATTCCTTTCCCCCATAGTCCAAGCTGATGGGACAAGTCCACAAGCACATCTCCTCTTCACGGCTGTGGAAGGAAGCACTCAACAAAGTATTGTGTCCTTTGATATTCCACAATGGTTTGTCTGGTGTCTATGGGCCTTCTTTTGCTGGGAAGAAGATAACTTTCTGTGGCAAACTAGTATTTCACACTTGGTAATGCTTCTCTCCTGACTGGTGGTTTGCAGTTACAGAGCAAACACTTAGATATTACCTTATAACATGGGATACAGATATTATAAGTGATACTAATGCACATAGCAACTTACAAATATTTCATAAAGTCTAAAGACATTTTTATAAATCTAATACCTATTTTAACAATACTAACACATAGGTGAACCAGAGTGGTTCCCAGCTATGTATTTGTCAGTGTTCAGTTGAGGCGTAGGGGCCAGCACCACACCAGGATCCAGTCAACGTTCACAGGTTAAGAAACGCGTCTTCTCTTTTCCTTCCCATTTTGGGCAGAGGGACTTCAAATTTGAGGAGAGGGAGGAGGATCTGAATTCCTCATCCTTTCTGGTGGCAAATAGCTGACCCACTGCATCCTGCCAAAATACGTGCCTCTACACCACCTGCATGCTCCTGCTAAAAAGATCATTAGTAAAAATGTGAATATGGGGATTTAAATTGTCAGGCTTCAGCATGTACATCAGCACTGACATCCCCCCTTGATATAAATGGAGCAGTTCTCACCTCTCAGAGCTGTTTCTTTCATGGTAAGAGAAAAGAAATATCATCACTGCCTTTTATAGAGGGGTAATTGAGGCAAAGAGATTAATTTATCCAAAATTACACAGGAAGCCTGTGGCATAGCCAGGAATTTAATCCAGATCTCTCATGGCCCAGTCCACGCTTTAACCACTAGGCCACCCTTCCTCCACATACTCCATCCTTACAAAATAGTCCAAAAGAGAGCTACAGTAAGTTTTGCTGGGCATTTCTGGAGGACAACAGTATACAGAAACTAACAGCTTACTGACTGAGGAGGTTTTGTAGTACCTCCCCCGCCTCCCTTTTCCACTAGCCACACAGAACAACATTCTCTCTATTCTCACCCAGGAGGAAGAGGAGAATATAGCAGCATATGTGGTTCCACAACAGGAGCAGAATGCTGGATGTCATGCTGGGTAAGAGCCATACAAACATGTTCCCTGCACAAGATTTCAGCAATTCAATACCCTTACATTCAGAGAGGGCCAGAATCATTTAGCCCTTATGATCCTCTAATCTCTTTACTGACAGTGGGTAAAATTTAAAAGGAGTTATTAGATTTTTAAAAAAACTGTTAATTTAAGCACAATCACCACTTAGATACAATTCAGCTCTGAATTTAAACACAATTACAAAGATGTTATTTTGCAGTGCACTTAGTTTTATTCTCATTGGCAGAAAATAGTTTACTATCACCATCACTGGCCAGCAAATTTAACTTAAAAAAAAATCAATATTAGTTGCTGCCTCCATCTATAGTCTGAAAAATAGACAATTTAAATCACAATAGTGGTGAGGAGAATCTAAACGTGCTAGAAAGGAAGCTAATTTGGGAGAAATACATTAAATGAGCAAGAAAGAGGAAACGGTGGCAGCTGGTAAAATAGAGGTCAATAAATGAGCAAATAGGGAAAGCAGGGGGAAGAAGAAATGAGGTAAGAGAAAAATTGGCACAAAACAGAAGACAATGGCAGGGAGCATAAAGACGACATCAAATCAGGAGTGACCAAAAATAACTAATGGTAGCAGAAACCCCAGAAAGCAACAGTTTGCAAATTAGAGAGACACTGAATGAAGAGCAGGTAGTGTTATACTGCTTGGGGTAGGCAGTGTGATCAAATAGGAGAGCAATGGCTTGGAAGTCAATCCAGACCTGGGTTCTATTCCCGGCTCTGCCACTCACCTGTTATGTGACCTTGTGTAAGTCACTTCACCTCTCTGTGCCTGTTTCCCATCCTTTGTCTGACTTGTCTGTTCTTCGAGGCAGAGACTTTCTCTCAGTGTGTGATTGTACTGTGTCATGCATAAAGGGCCCTCAATCTCAACTTGGACCTCTAGGCACTACTGTAATATACACTCCCGGGGGAATTCTGCACCACTATGCAATGCAGAATTTGCACAGAATTAATGTTCTGTGTAGAATTTCATTTTTTCCCCACAGAATTGGTGCTGCAGAGCTGCTGGCCACCACTGTGGACCGCTGCACGCAGCAGAGCCCAGTTCACAAATAGAGGACACTTGCCAGGGGGAGAAGGGGAGCTGGAGGCTGGCTGCTGCAGTTCCCACCACATCCTGAAGGGAGGAGGTGGCGTGCAGGAAACTTTGTACAAACCTGGTCCCAGCATCAGGCTGTTTCTTTCTTTGGATCCTTAGGCTCTTAGGGGGTAGGGAGTGCAGGTGTCTGGGCTGGGAGAGTTGTCCAATGCCTGGGCTCTGGGGGTAGGGAGTGCAGATGTCTGTGCAGGGGGGGGAGGGGAGCAGGCGGCAGGGGTGGGAGGGCTGGGGGGTGTCTGGGATGGGGGGTAGCGGGTTTGGGTGTCTGGGATGCGGGAGGGTGCTCTGCAGCTAGTCTTTGGGGATGCGAGTGCAATGGATTAATATACATCAGAATTATGCCATAATCATATAATAATATCACTGTGAAAAATATGGGGTGCAGGGTCACAGCAAGTATCTGGGCTGGGTGGTGCCTCATGGCTGGGCTCTGTGAGGCAGGTGGTGCAGGTATCAGAGACCAGAGGTTCCCCCCCTCCAGATGTGTCCAGCTGGCACATGACACACCCAGACTGAGGTGCCCAGCAAAAGCATAACAGAGAAACAGGAACTAAGTTGTCGTAGGGGGTTTCTTTAACGCTCTACTTCTGGAGGAACTATTTTCTGTTGTCTGTATTTTGACAGACATACTTGTTGACAGGTATTTTGAAACTTCTTATTTCACTACTGAACGATAATGAATTTTATACTATGGTACTACTAAATAAGGCTTAAAAAAAACCAGTATTACCTGACCTCTACCATCTGAAAGGCAAAACTTACTAGCCAGAGGTGTAGAGATGAAAGAGGAGGATGAGGAACATGACCTGTGAAGTCCAGAGGCAAAACTCTGTTGAGAAGCTTAATCACCCAGCCAGTCTCAGCTGCCGGGACAGGGGAGGATACAAGAATCTCTATTATGAAGCAGTCTCTGCATACTGCTTTCACATCAGCCTCTGGACAACAGATGTCAGATAAACTTAAAATTCTAGTCTTGCTAAAATCTAGAAGAAAGGAATTTTGTGTTTCTTCTCTCCTTTGCAGTGTTGCCTGGCTGCTGAGAAGGGAATGGGTCTCCACTACTCTATCCCTCCACCAACCTTCATTTTGGGTCCTCCTCACCAGTAAATGGCTTCAATGCCTGCCTCTGTTGCTGCTCCTAGCTTTCTAAGCAGTGTCAGAATGCAAATGACCTGATTCTTGACAATGTCAGTGCTACCAGTAGCATTCTGAACATCAGCTATGAAAAACGACAAGACTTTCGTCACTCTGCTGTAGCACTGAATACTACAAGCAAAAGCGCTGGAGTTACCAGTCTGCAAACTTCATAGGACACCACATTGCTTTAATCTATATCCAGTTCAGGTTTGGAATGTTATCTTTGCAAAAGCTAGAAATGACTTTTTAAATGAAAACCTAGATTCTATATAAATTGATTGCATCAGTCTCTACAAATAAGTAACAAAGCTTTCGGATCATTACACGCGAGTCAGTTTTTTGAGTCCTTTCATGAATGACTGGTCAGTCAGTCATCTTCAATGCTCTAATAAGGACTGCAATAGTACACATAAGATGAACACAGGCTGTAAAACAGGGTAATAAAAAGAATAGACCACTAGATGTGTCATCCCATTTCATTGCCCTAACATACGAACAAAAAGTAGGATGTAGCTATAGATTCTTACCTGGATGTTGTCAAACTTTAATCCAGGCATGGTGAGATTCTCTTTGTCTATAAACAGAGTACTATATTGCTGAGTGGCTACTGAAACTAAAACCTTTCTAGTTTCCTCGCTGGGAAGCCAGGCATCATTTCTTCTATCTAATTCACTCATATTCAAGGCTGTGGCAAATGGGTCATCACTTCCAGCAAAAACAGCTTGGATCTGTGAAAATGGTTTAGGAGATTGTGACATTTCTAAAGATGCAGGGGGACTACCTGCTTCAGATCTCTCATTTCCTACAGAGTAAGTAGGGTCAGCAGAGTCACTGGAATTGTCTCCAACTGTACTGACAGATGACATTTGTTCTGGGACTGAAGAACCTGCATTAGGGTTACTGACAGAAATAAAAGTAGATGTAGTAAATGAATCAAAAAACTCAGCAGCTAGATTATTAGTGTTAATAGGGTCACCAAAAAATGTGCTTAGGCTAGGACTTGGTTGAACCACCTGTGGATGAGACTTCACCGGAATCTCATGTACACTACTAAAACTAGGAGACTTCACCATTTGAGGCTCAAAACCATCATGTATGAACAACTGTGGTTGAGCATTAACATTGTTTGCTTGACTAAAAATGGTGCATACAGGGATAGGCTCAGCTTCAGGAGATGATTTGCTGGCAAGGGGTGATGATATTGGCTCCTCAGATTTACTTTCATCAATATTACTTGGTGTTGAGTCACATAGAGCTTCATTTCCCACTTTCAGTTCATCTTTCACTGCTTCTTGAATCAACTCTTCCTTTAAAGATGCCTGATCATCTGTTCCAATATCAGAAATATCTTTAGGTGTTTCTTCATGTTCAGTTTCACTGTCATTACCTAGGGCTTCTTCCTTATTCAATTCTTCTTCTGGTGTACAAATGTCCTTGACTTCCATTTGTTCCACAATCTCCTGCAGGCAACCAAGTTCACCGGTGTCATCTTCACTATTGTTTGGAGAATCAGAAATAATGACACTCTCCATCATGTGTTCATTAAGTTTATCTATGAAGTTATTGGAATCCTCTGAGATGGTCTCATTCCCTTCAGACTCAGATTCATCTCCACCAAGATCAATGGTTTCCTCATGGAAGAGAAGTTCTTCCTGAGCCCTCTGCTGAACTACATTTCCACTTGCCTCCTCATCTGAAACGCTCTTCTTAGCATCCTCATCGTTACATTGATTATTTTCCATTGTGACTAAAGAAAGAGAAATATATTCCAAAAGTTAATTTTATTGATCAATTTAAATCATTGTTCTGAAACTCAAGAGTATTTATTAAAAAGGCACAGAAGGACTTTTTATGTAGTCATTTGATTATTAGAATATTTATTTTTGTCACTTCATTGTTGGCCAGCTATTCTGTACTTGGCACAAAAATGTTTTAAATTTACCTTTTGCCACTATGAACTTGTGAGTCTCAAAACATTATAAATTTCAGGAAGGCAATGGTGTGTGAGTGTGCGTGCACACGCTCCCATTCAACCACTCCAGCCTCCCCAGAAAGATATTTAGCATTATGCTGATAAATATTTCCTTCCAGTTAAACAAATAATATTACAAAATACTTAGCTGAGAGGCAGCTCCAAAAATCAACACTAAAAATGGACCAGATTGTCTTTTTCTTACAAAAATATCTTTCTGCTAAAAATTACTTATTCTGATCCTCCTTGGTTTTGATACTGCAAGAATCAAATAGTACATCTAAAGCAGGCCAAAAATGTAGGCTTACTCTCTCCCATGGCAAGAGTCCCTCTTCCCTATTTGACCAAAAACATCTTCGTATCCTATGGGTATTAGACTTCATTGCCCTCTAGGTTTACTTCCTTTGGATTGTTCAGAAAACTTCTCTCAACATCACCACCTCTCCTGATACAGGTTCTTATTCATCTATGTACCTCACAATGTTTTATCTAAACTACAAAATGTTAATATTCTTTCCAAAGGGAAAACGGAGACAGGAAGATCTAGTTTGGGGGGTTGCTTGCCTGACAAACTAATAGCTCACACTTTCCTTTTTCTTGGTCACTCATTCAATAATGATTTAGGTAGGTGGCATTCAGATGATGAATTGTGATTACTGCTACTGATTGGCTAAAAATTGTTCATGCAACCACTATTTTTGTTATCGCTCTGCTTTATGCTTCTGTCAGTCACCTGTTATATCTCTTTCCTTTTACACTATAAGCTTTTTAAGGAAGGGAATTAAATTGTATAGTGCCTACTACACTTGCTTAAGCTGAGGCCTTTAGGCATTACTGGAATATAAATATTAATGATAATAAATAATAAACGTGTTTGGGTATAGGGGAAAGGAGAAAACCAATAAGCACCTGATCCTGCTCCCACTGAAGACAGTGGGCATTTTGCTACTGATTCCACTAAAAATAGTTCTGGGACCCACAGAAAGACAGGATTACGCATCTTGAGATTTCTGAAATTTTTGTTCAAGTCTAGGAGTTTGCCTCTCAAATTTCAAAAGTTTTTTTTTCTCCTGCTGATAATAGCTCATCTTAATTAATTAGCCACTTACAGTTTGTATGGCAACTTCCACCTTCTCTGTATCTATATCTATCTATATATCTTCTTACTATATGTTTCATTCTATGCATCCGATGAACTGGGCTGTAGCCCACGAAAGCTTATGCTCTAATAAATTTGTTAGTCTCTAACATGCCACAAGTACTCCTGTTCTTTTTGCGGATACAGACTAACACGGCTGCTATTCTGAAACCTGTCATTAAATCTAACTGGCATTTTTAAACCTCTCTTTTTAACATCTAAACTTTGGATACCCCCAAATGGGGTTCTCCATCACTGCTTCTGGCAAAATTCAGTAAATACACTTTATTTTACCTTTGACCTATTACCCTTTGATTGTGAAAAACTTAAACAAACAAAAAAGCTATATTTTCCCATATTTTAAAACCTATGCAGGTTTGGAGAAAGAAGCAAATTTTTCTGGGAGATGAATTTATTTCTTTAACCTTGGAGGCTTCTAATTTGCTTCTCATCTCAGACTAAGTAATGATTACATTTTTTTTTTATTTTGATGAAGTGAAGGCTTCTCTTTTTATATATAAAACTATAGCTAGCCTGGTACTGAATCCATGCAGAATCCCACTGAAAACAACAGTGCTTTGCACAGGCACAGGAATGGGTCTCATTGCAGGATGGGCCAAAGCGATTCTAAAATCGCAATGAAAAGTTTCTACCAGTTATACTCATTGAAAATACTTTTAGCCTGCTCTGTGAGAAGCTCATTCTCTTCCTTTGTCGTCTCTAACTGGATTACTCAACTTGTGGGTCGGGACCCAAAACTGGGTTGCCTGAATATTTCAAAGGGTCACATAGCAGCTCCTGTCCCATGGGGCTGGCGGGGCTCACCTCCCTGGTCCAGGCACTCCAACCTCTGCAGTCCCAGTGCCACGCAGGTTTAGCCCAGCCATCAGGATGACAAGCATCTGGGTAGGCCAAAGTTTAGAGTGGCACTGCAACCCCATGAGCCAGGTCACAACTCCGCTCACTCAAACTTGGTCCAGTGAAGTGGGCAGCGCCAAACCTGAGCTGCGCTGCAACTTGGAGATTGCAAAGCCCAGAACAGAGAGCCAAGCCCTGCCACAGTCCAGGAGCTGCAGGCACTGTGGGGTGAGTGCCCGGCCTTCCACACAGTTTTGCATCCCGATGTGGCCCTCGGGCCAAAAAATTTGCCTACCCCTGACGTATGCTCACAGCTTTGCCATGGAATTCCACGTTTCTGAGTCTTCATAGGCATCTGTGCTAATTCACCAGGCTAAACCTTTGGCCTGGCCAGTCAGTACCCACTATCTCCCATGGGTAGAGCGAGTGGGTTTGAAACGCCCTGGTAGGTACCGCAGACAGGGCTGAAGATCCGCAGGCAGCGGGGTAGAAGCAGGGCGACAGCACAGAGTCTGGTTACTGCTCCGGGTAGCACGGTGCTGGGTGCAGGGGAAGAACGTGGCCACTGTCTAACAGAGGAAGGGAAGGGTCCCAACCCCTCGGGGGGGGGGGGGGGGGTCAAGGGCCTCTCACTGCGGTTCACTTTCAGGCAGGTCCCACGACCCCCCCGCGGGGGGGAAAGATTTTGCTCTGCGTGTGGCAGCCAGACCCTGCACATCCACGGCAAGTCGTGGCACAAGTGACAGCCCCTCGGGGAGGCACCTCTGCTGCCGCCTCACCCCAAACGGGGACCCCGGCGCACCCCTGCCCGGCCAGCTCCACGCTAGGGAACCCCAGGCCCGCTCGCTGCCTGCCCCACGCCAGGCTGCCCCGCCCCTCCGTTCCGCCAGGCCCGGCCTCCCGCTCCCTACTACCTACGGCCCTGACCCTCACCTGCTTAGCGCCCGCAGCAGCCTTGCACCGCCGCCGCCCGACGGCTCCAGCAGCGACTACGCCTGCGCTCACAACCGGGTACCGGTCTCTACGGCGCCTGCGTCTCCTTCACATCACCCGGAAGGGGAGAGCAACGGATGCCGCAGTGGCTCAGAAAGCCCCCTGGGCTAGCGAGTAACGCGTGAAAGAGGGGGGCCGGCTCAAGCTCGGGGAAAGGGCTGTGCGGCTGTTGGGCGAGACGGGGGGCCTTGCGGGCGCAGCCGTGGGGAGGCTATGGAGGATGACGCGCCAGTGATCTATGGGCTGGAGTTCCAGGTGCGCGTGAGGGGAGAGAGGAGACCCTAGGAGAGGGGGGGAGCTACTACCCGCCGGGGGGCGGTGTTGGAAGGGAGCACGTGGAGATGGCTGTTGCTGGCCGGGGGGGGCGGTGTTGGAGGGGGGCTGTTGCTGGCCGGGGGGGCGGTGTTGGGGGGGGCTGTTGCTGGCCGGGGGGGGCGGTGTTGGGGGGGGGCTGTTGCTGGCCGGGGGGGGGCGGTGTTGGAGGGGGGCTGTTGCTGGCCGGGGGGGGGCGGTGTTGGAGGGGGGCTGTTGCTGGCCGGGGGGGGGCGGTGTTGGGGGGGGGCTGTTGCTGGCCGGGGGGGGCGGTGTTGGGGGGGGGGCTGTTGCTGGCCGGGGGGGGCGGTGTTGGAGGGGGGCTGTTGCTGGCCGGGGGGGGGGCGGTGTTGGAGGGGGGCTGTTGCTGGCCGGGGGGGGGCGGTGTTGGAGGGGGGCTGTTGCTGGCCGGGGGGGCGGTGTTGGAGGGGGGCTGTTGCTGGCCGGGGGGGGGCGGTGTTGGAGGGGGGCTGTTGCTGGCCGGGGGGGGCGGTGTTGGAGGGGGGCTGTTGCTGGCCGGGGGGGCGGTGTTGGAGGGGGCTGTTGCTGGCCGGGGGGGGGGCGGTGTTGGAGGGGGCTGTTGCTGGCCGGGGGGGGGGGGGCGGTGTTGGAGGGGGGCTGTTGCTGGCCGGGGGGGGCGGTGTTGGAGGGGGCTGTTGCTGGCCGGGGGGGCGGTGTTGGAGGGGGGCTGTTGCTGGCCGGGGGGGGGGCGGTGTTGGAGGGGGGCTGTTGCTGGCCGGGGGGGCGGTGTTGGAGGGGGGCTGTTGCTGGCCGGGGGGGGGCGGTGTTGGAGGGGGCTGTTGCTGGCCGGGGGGGCGGTGTTGGAGGGGGGCTGTTGCTGGCCGGGGGGCGGTGTTGGAGGGGGGCTGTTGCTGGCCGGGGGAGGGGCGGTGTTGGAGGGGGGCTGTTGCTGGCCGGGGGGGGTGGTCATTGCCTACTTGGGGTGTGTGACAGGGCTTTTCAGGGGGCAGCGTGGTGGGCAGTGGAAGGGGACAGCCCCTTGCAGAGCAGCAGGCACTGGGGGCAGCTGATACTAGGCAAGGTGATCAGACTCTCTACAGCCTCCCCCCCGACATAGCTGATGATCAGGGGTTCTTCCTGAACCCCGAAATATGTTTATGCGACAGCCTTAATTCTGACCCTTGCCTGCTTTCACATGTAATATAACAACCACTTGTTAAGGTGCCTAACAGCCTGCGGGCAAGAGGAGTTAGTATGGGGTGGGCAAACTTTTTGACTCGGGGGTCACATCAGGGTGCGAAACTGTGGAGGGCTGGGAAGGCTGTACCTCCGCAAACAGCCTGGCCTCCTTACCGCCATCTGCCTCCTTGCACTTCCTGCCCACTGACTGCCCCCCCCCCAACTGCTGACCAATCCAACCCCTCCTGCTTCTTGTCCCCTGACTGCCACCTCCTGGGACCCACTGCCCCTAACCGCCCCCCCATGGGACCCCCCCATCCAAACCCCCTGTTCCCCATCCCCTGACCACCCTCCGCCTCCCCCCCAGAACATCTGCCCCATCCAACTGCCCCCTGACTGCCTGCCCCTGCTCCCTGGGACCCCGTGCTCCTTATCCAACCCCCCTGCCCAGTTACCATGCAGCTCAGAGCAGCAGGTGCTTGCTGCCTGGTGAGGGAGGACGGAAAGCAGGGGAAGGCCTGGGGGCCTAGTCTCCCTAGCCAGGAGCTCAGGGGCTGGGCAGGAGGGTCCTGCTGGCCGGGTGCGGCCCGCAGGCCGTAGTATGCCCACCTCTGAGCTAGTAGTTCAGGGAGGAGGGAACTGCTTGTGCAGCATGACTTGAGTTGTGCCATATTTGGGAGGATAGACGAACAGTAGGAAGATATGTCAGATACGTACGAAGCGCTGTGGCCTCTTTTATTCAATAACCAGTGTTCTGTATCTCTTGTTAGTTTTATTTATTTGTATTCTTTAGTGCTTGAGTGCCCTAGCTAGAATGGGGAGGGAGATGGGGGTGGGGAGCATTATGCAAGACCGTGTACAGACGTAGTATAGAGTAGTCCCTGTGCTGAAGAGCTTACAATCTAATAGACAGGATAGATTAACTGCTATAGAGCTATGGACAAATAGTCAAAAGAATAGAATTTGTAAGTTCCAGTTTCACCCCAGTCAACCTCCTTTGTAGCCCTGGCTCATCCTGAGTGGCCTCCTTACAGTGCACTCACGGAGAACACTTGGCCTCGGTCTGGGCAGGGGAAGAGAAATGCCAAAAATTTCTGAAGGTATATGCTCTTGGTTGCTTCTCTCTCCTGCAGAGTGGGGAGACTCCTGGCTCGTTGTTGCAGGGCAGGCAGCCTGTATGGCTCATGAAGAAGACTGAAATACATCTTGTAATACATTACCATTCATCAAATTACCCTAAATCATTAGATATTTGCTGCTGGTGCTATAGTTGCCCCCTTTATGAATTTGTCCCACAAAGAAAAATTGTTTGTTATACCATTGTGTTTTCATGTCACACCAGGATAGTTTTTTGCAGGTCCCAGAACTGAAATGGTCGAAGAAACGGCAAGTGAATATGCTTAATGATGCTTATTGGTGATGATTCTCTGTATCAGCCCTGTTGCCCCATCTGGCCACCTTCCATTCAGTTGTATTTGCTTTTATTATCAATAGAGCATGGGGCTGTTTCTGCAAGTTGTGTTTCTGTGTGTACGCTATTGGATGTTAAATCAGCTCAAGTCTGACTATCATAACCATTATGTGATTGGATCACAGAGGCTATATGTCCTCCTATTTCTCCAGGGTTGATAATTCCAGATTTTAAAGGGCATTAGATGCCTAAATACCTCTAGCCCATAGGCTCTTATTTTGGATCAGAGAATGTATATTGTGTTCTAAGCAAAGTACTATCTGATATAGTAGATGTAAATTGTGTAGCAAATCGTTTAGATCTCATCCTAACCATTTTTCACAAGTCTGCACTGAGCAGTTCCACTTATTGTTTGGGAAATATGCAGCAGATGATAGGAATTAGGTTTTACTGGAATTAGGCCTGGTTGGGAGCATAGAAGGCAATGGACCTTCTGAGACTGTAGCTCTAACGGGGGATTTGTAAAAGTTAATGGTGAGCAGGAGGAAGTGTCTATGTGGCAGAGCTCTGCTCTGGAGCAGTTTTGGAATGGGGAGGAAGGGTGGATAGTTTTGTGGATGAGGCACAAAGGAGCTCACAGACTACAGTGTTATTCCTAGGTATTTCTGGCCTCCATAGAGTTACCTTAAGCAAGCCACTTAAGCAAACTCCTCTGTGCCTCAGGTTTCCTATCTGTAAAATGAGGCTAATATTTCTGTTTTTCATATGAATAAATTCAAGTTTGTAAAGTGCTTAGGTATTAAATTAATGAGTGCCATAGAAATGCCTATAAATAAACATGAACTACTCAGGATAGACTCATTCCCTCTTATAGCTCTCCTAAGGCACATAGGAAAGGAGCCATCCCCAGCTCCACTTTGGTAGAGCTTTTGACGTAACCTCTCCCGGAGCACTGAGGAAGCACTGGTGGGAAATACCTCTCCAGGAGAGCTCTTAAATTCTGCTGGAGCAAGTGCTTCTTTCTGTTGCCTGTATTTTGTTTGGCTCCTTCAGTTACTTCCAGACTCCCCAGCTGCCAAGCCCCTGACATCCCTTTATGTGGCAGCCTTACAAAACAGAGAATTATGCAGCCACATAATCTCATGGTACACAGGGCCTTGGTTCTAAGCCACAAACATTTCTATTTGTTCATGAATGGCAGTTCTAAGCCTCAGTCCCTTGCTGCCCAGGAAACGTAAGTAGAGTTCCTGCACTTGTGCCCTCCTTATACAGTATGTTCCTTAGTCAAATGAATGTTGACTTTGGTCTGTCTTGCCTTTCCTGTAGGGCTAATTGCTAACTGTTTGATTAGGCTTTGGCTACTGCTGTTTGCTGGGTTCTCCAAGGCAGATCACTTCCTGCTGTTAAGTGGATGTACTGCCATTTTGCTGGCCCACAAACAAGCTGCCTCCTGCAGTTCCTCGGATTGCCAACGTATGTGTCACCACAGGATGACTCCTTTCTTATCCTCCAAACCTTTGGTGTTTGCTCTTGTCAACCACTCTTACTCCCCTGACCAGGATTTTTCTGTCATATATATATAGGCAAGCTCTTCCCTCAGTCTGCTGAAGGTCCACCTCCTTGGACCCAGCTCCAGCTGAGGTCTTGTTGTAACAGTACGTCAAGAGAGCCCAGTTGTTACTTAGGCCCTCTTTTGTCAAGGGCACAACTCCATCCCTTGGGCTGCCTTTCCCTTCTATGCCTGGAATTAACGGTGGCTCTTCTCTTCCCACAGTTAGATCCCAGGCAAATATAGAACTGAATAATGCTGATAAAGCTAAGTTAAGTTAGTTTTTAGTATCTAACAGTTTAAATTTAGCATTGCATGTTCTAAGAGAACTGAGCCAATCATATTTTCCACTTGTTTCAACAGGCTTGCTTAGAGCTAGAAGGCTGTAAAGAGAGAAGAACTGAGAAATAGGGCACCTCATTACACAGAATCAGTTATGAACTAGTTTTGCTTTTAGAATGATGACATTTTCCAGACTGGCTGTCCCATGAATGTTTGGCTGTTTGAGTAATGATCCAGAATTCCCAAAGGGTTAGAAAGACACTTTCTTTAAAGTTGTTGACTGATTTTAGTGCTAGTGAAAGATGTCCTCTTGACTGACCTGGAGACTAAAATTATCTTTTATCTGCAAAACAGGTGCAGCACCGGGACAAATTTCCCTATGTTGCCTTGTCAGTGTGCCTCAGCATCATACTCACCTTTGTCTTGGCCTTTCTGCTGAGAAGGGTATCAGCTGTGGTGTAGTGGTATTTGAGTGGTAGCCAGAGACTACAAACTTTCTTTATGCATGCGGCCAAACTCTATCACATATCATTGACTTTTCAGTGCTATCTACTTGGGTTG